CTGGCAGGCAAGGGGAGGGGTGTTCGTCTGGAAGGAGACGCGGGCTTCCCCCCCTGCCCCCTTCCCCAAATCCTTTCCTTTTATAAAGGTGCTGATCCTTTTTCTTCTTCTTCTCCTCCTTCTTCTCTGCATCCAGGGAAAAGTTTGAAGACTCTTATGTCCAAAGGAATCTTACAGGTACATCCTCCAATCTGTGATTGCCCTGGGTGTCGAATTTCGTCTCCAGTGGTAAGATTATCGTTAAACTATGTGCTTTGGTTAAGACATCTCCCCTCTCCTCCGCCTTCTTTCCCTTAAAAAAAAAAAAAAATCCCATTGCTGCTGTGATCATGAAACCGTGATCTCGGAGGGCTAGGAACTGTCCGTCATGGAGTCTGTGCCGGAGCGCTGCGTGCCATGCCAGGGTACCCGCGGTCTGGTTAAAGGCTAGCGCAAGAGGAGTTTGCAGACAGAGCGGATGGGAAGAGCAGTGTTTGACCTAAAGGATGCAGCACACGGTGTGCTTGTGTGGTGTTCAGGGGGAGCTGTCTCTGTGCAAACGGCAAATCATTCAGCAGCCTTTTCCCTGTTCTCACCCCTTCATTTTTGTGCATTTTGCAGAGATGTAAAACGGCTAAGTAAAGCAAAAGGGAATTATAATTTGTACCCACGTGTCAGAACAGCCCCAGTTTACAAACCATTAGTGAATTTTGTTAGATAAACTTAAGGAGGAACAAGCTCATCTTAAACACTTGAAGTTTTACAGCATTTGTGTCATAGATCACAGTTACTGCTTTTGTAGTTCTTTTCTTCCCAACTTGTGTTTTCTGCTGTCTGCCATTATCCTGAGGCTTTCAGAATCTCTACAACATCAACGTTTTCATGAAAAAGGTGTTGATGCTATAAATAAAAAGCTAATGAATAGTAAACTAAGGCATTAAAAACAGTTCATCATGTGTAAAAACAACTGTAAAATACAATAACATCTGAACAGGAGGGCAAAGCTGTTTGTTTGTAGAATTAAGGCAGGTCTTGGTCTGAAAAAAACACCATGACTTAAAACATTGTCAGTTGTGCTGCAGAAACAGACGCAGCTGGAAATGTATGTACTTTTATCCACTGAAATCAACCGTTTTTTCTTTTATTGTTTCTTTGAGCTCAAATGGACAATCTCTTCACATGCAGTAGCTTTATGATTCTGCACAAGAGATGGAATTGGGAATTTAATTTCTGCATAGTGTGTATGTGGGCTTATGTCTACAGATACACACATTCACACGGGAAGGGGCTTAGAGCACTAATCCAGAGTTACATCAATTAACGTGAAGATAGCGTCTCCGTGATGCGAGTCTCTCGCGTCTGCTGTGGGTAGCAGCTGCCTGTACCGAGGCAGTAACTGCCCACCGAGCTCACGCGTCCTGGTTGTATGGCAGCACTGCTGTGGTGTTCTACACCCAGCAAACCAGACAGACTGAAACCTGGCTTTTCTGACGCCTGAGTTCACGGGGCAAAGTGCGATGCGGTGTAATAAGCTTTCCCCAGTTCTGAGTTTTGCGTAGGGTTTAGTTACCAGTTGTGTGGATCCGAGGCCAACAAGCAGCGATCTGCAGGCCGAAGTGATAGGCCGCGGTTGCTGGTGGTGCTGAGGAGCGTCTGGCCAGCTGGCACTGTCTGCTGGTCACCTGCTGGGTACCAAGTTGCGTTAGGTGGTAGCCAAAATGGCACGTCAAGGTTTTTCCTAGTTGCACAGGGATACTACGCATTTACCGATGGGAAGGCAGCTCTGCGTGAAACCAGTGTCTTTTAAAATAGGATGAATTTGAGAAGCTCAGATAGAGGAAAAGAGGGTTGGTATAGTTTGGGGAAAGGAGAAATAAATCCTTCTGGACTTGCGTGCGTCCTACCGCTTCCCCAGCTGTGTGAATTTGTTAGAGCGGGTTTTAATGTCAGAATTTACCCAGCAAGGCCAAGCCCCAGTGAGAGCTTTCATCAGAACTCTCTTTCTCAGTGCTCACTGCATCTTCTGTGCTGTAATTAGACCATGTGCCTGACCAAACGACGATTTCACGTTTTTAATCTCTTGGGTAGTGCCTTCTCATAGCTGCCTGCACGACACATTCAAAACAGTTACACAAGGAGGAGGATTAAAAATCGGGCACAGTTTATCTTTCGCCGCTTAGCGATCACTGCTTTGAGCACCACTGAGATCAGAGGGGCTGTTACTCCTCGAATTAGAAACGCTTCATATTTTACAGCGTGGGTAAGTGGAGAGTTGCGGTGCCTGGGTCCCTGCGGTATCGCATGGGGGGCACGGAGACGGGGAGCTGGTCTGCCAGCAGCGGTTCTGCTGAGCCGAAATCCGGCCTTGGGCAGCGGGA